CTTATGATGATGATGAATAAGGCGAGATAGACAGGCACTCTGGACAATATAAGCTTTTTAATATAAAAAATAACAATAATAAAGACAAAATTGAGAGCATACCATTTGTCCACTAATAGGCCTTCCATGATGGAAAAGAAGCTTTTACCATCTTGGAAATAGAATTAATCCAAGCAAATATGCCAAAGCACAACCTTTAATAGGGAAATATAGTTGCTTGGGCTTATATAGCACAATCATTATTAGAAAGTATAAAAAGTCTCGTGTAAGGTAAAATCAAAGATAAAATCAGAATCCGAGGATTCCGATCTTTTCGCATCCATATCCATCATAAAAAAAGAATTGTTGAATTCAATTTTCAATTTCAATCGAGAAGAATCACTTCCATTGTTTTGCTTCTTTCAGTGAGGACACAATGATAGTCTCCTTTTCTAAATAATTTTCCATAAATTACTGAGATGTAAGGAAAATGACATTGAAAAAGAATAGTACTAACACTCCTCATCATGTATTATATTGCTCTCCTTGTTTATTTGTCAACATTACCCATCATCTCTAATAGTTCCTCAATCATTTGATGTTTCATTCACACCATTGCAATCTTCCCATGGAAAAGGTTCACAAAAAATAACTCCTTTGGTCAAAAGCTTTCCATCCCGAGGAAACTCCATAAGCATGAATTAATAGCAAAAGAAAAAAAAAAGAAAGACAAACCATAATGCAAATATGGGGTTCGAAATAATATAACACCTTTTAGTCAATTTTTTCTATTTTTGGGAGAAAAAGAAGCATAGTTGCTCTGTTAATTCTACAAGCATTAAAGGGTTGAATGAATTAATTCATTGACTAATTGCAAATTAATTAGTTACATCCCTTATAGGTGGTGGGGCTAAACTAGATTTGATTACCTACGCTAATTGATTTTAATTTTTTTTTTACAAATCCATTATAGCATAAAAATAAGGATATAAGCGACAATACAAATTCTAAAGGGAAAGTTGGTTGATTGAATTAGGGTTTTCTCAACATAATAAGTTATTGGAGAATATCATTGAGACTAAAAGGTAAATTTTATATAATTATAAAAATCCAAGCTAAGGTATATAGATTTAAGTTCTAAGTCATTAAAAAAGTAAAATTATTAATATGAAAGCCAATTTGAATGCGTAAAAAATAAAAATGTTAAGGTAATGCAATGATGAATAGTCAATAAAAAAATATGATTATATGCGAGTTGTAAGTGTAGAATCTATTAAAGATAGATAAAAAAGAAAAAAAAAACTTGAGATGATTTTGATATATATAAGAGAAGGTAAAAGATACACGAATTAGAATAAAAACAAGCTAGAAAAGATTAGATAGAAAAAATAATAGACTACAAGTAACATGAAAAAATTTTGTGCAAATAGATTTGGCAAAATAGGAGCAACACATCATGCCACACTCAATAAAATTAATGAAAAGAAACGATTAAAGTCCATCCCAAATTAGTGGGATAAAGTTAACAATGCTTATAATGATAATGATTACAATTGCACGAAGTTAATATAAACAAAAAAGATTTAAGTGCTATGATACAAACCTATTTAAATTAAAAAAACTAAGAGGAATGTCTCAATAAAACATTATCCCTTCAAGAAACAAGGATTTTAATCTCTGATAGAAAAGTTAAATTTAGAATAAGCATGAGGTTTAGAATTTACAAAAGAGTAGGAAAACAAGAGCATGGATCCATAGAAAATTTAAAGAAAGGATTTGATCATAAAGAGGAGATCAATCTTTCACATAAAAGCAAGAAACAACGCAAGAATTAACAATATTGGTTTTGAGCATCCATCAAGTTGCTGAATCAATTTGAACAATCAGACATAAATATAAAACCAAACTATAGTTTGCAGAGATTAAATAATGAAATATTTTAATAACTTCTTCTAGCATGACACACCTAAGAGTTATGTTGAGTGCATACTTCCTCCGAATTTGTTTGATCACCTCTCATCGACAGCAATGACACGTACAATAGGCACTGCTTATTTGTTTCCTCAATCTCGAGTACCCATTTATGCGATCCCTACTCTATCCACATGAATTGCATTAAATAGTTTGAGCTTACCAATTCCACTTGCATCAATATTAAGTTCATTATTTCACATAAATGGAAAGAAGCCTTAATTGGAACATTAACAAATACATCAAGATCATAAAAAAAATCTCATTATTTAGGGGAAAGCTTAATTATCCAAGTTTCATATAATAAAACTAGAGCATGGAATATAACCACATTTTACCCTTTAGCTTAGCACTCAAGTAACAATTACTCGGCATATTCTTTTTAATGAAGCAAAGAAAACAGTTCATAGGCTGCAAACAAAGCACTAGGATAGAAACATTTAAAAATAGTCCCATCAAACCAAAGTTTGCACTTGCCAATCTTAACAATAACAAAGTACTGAGAAAAGTTCATCGAATGAAGCTAGAATCAAACCCTTGTCACAAAACACCATTCACAAAAAATATTAATGCAACAATAACAAAAATATAATCACCAAATCCAATAAGATATGGTACTCAGGGGCACGAGCTTAACCCTCCACAACAAACTTGTCAAGTATTACCTTCGAGTTTTTGCAAGGGAACTCCGGTGGTAAAATAATCATGTATAAAGAAGACGATATAATCTAATGATCCAACGTCGATGCAGAACAACTTTTTAAGAAGAAAGAGACGAAGATGCTTGTGAGAGATTTCGAAGCTAAGGAGCAGCGGGAGGAGAACGAGGCTAAGAAACTCTTATGTCCTACGAAGAAAACCGATGTTAGAACACAGTAGAGGAAAAATGATACGAGATCGACCTTTCTCCTCTTTCCCCCAATTTTTGTTTCTCCAAATCTACAGATGATTGAATTGGAAGAAAAATGTGGTGCTGCAATTAATTTCTAGAGAAAATATTATGTAAATGGTAGAAAAACTTGTTATCAACATTAGTTTCTTAGGCGGTGTATAATAACATTATTTAAATAAAATTTAGGCATGGATTTAAGTTAAATTTAGCCAAATATAACCTTCAGTAAATAAAAATTTTGCATATTCTATCTTAGGATATCGTGTTCGGTCCCTAAGTACACATTTTTTTTAACTAATATCTTTAGGAAAACTTGATTTTATATATCTCATAATAATAAAATCGAGCAAATATATTCATTATTTAATTTCTAAAGAAATTATACGTAAAAGTTTATTTCAAATAAAAATATTATTTCCCATATCCCCACCGTACTGAAATAGGGGCGTCCTATTTCTTTCGGCTTCTTTGATTTTGTTGTTGCCCTCTTGTTCAATAAATGTTTGCTCAATGAGATAAGGCATCTCGGTCAAGGGGAGATCAATCGAAATAAATAGTTTACATGCGACTTCAACATATATGTGTCAAAATAATTGGAAGATTTACAAGCATATCACTTTTTTTTCCAAAAAATATTATATTTTTTTAATATCAAAAAAATAGTATAGAGTTAATTTAGTAGTTCCCCTCGAATCCAACATCTATATCGCTTAAGACTAGGGTATTTACTTATATATTACCTAAAATATATTATTGACTATTATTATTGTCGCGGCTTTGCCATGTGGCAAAGCGGCTACGCATATAGGGATTTAAGAATTGCATGAGTTTGCAAGGAATGTAAATTGTGGAGTTATTACAATGGAATTGAAGTTCATCTCTATGACATTACGAAGGATATCAATAAGGTGACATTGGGCAAAGCATATCAATACTATTGGGGGATTACGGGTTAGTTGAGCAAAAAGAGAATGGTGATTTAAATTAATAGTGTATAAGAGATATTAGTTAAACTATGGCAGAAGAGAAACTTCAACGTGTTGCAGAAATTTATCAAACCAAACAGAGATAGAGATCGCTCTGATGATGAAGTACATCCTTAAATTTAGCCCGTCATATTTAATAAATCATGATTTAGGGACGAAATACTATAACCTGAGATGAAATATGCAAAATTTTGATTTAATAGAGATTATATTTGGCTAAATTTAACTTAAATCCAAACCTAAATTTTAATTAAGCGCCGCCTAAGAAACTCATGTTGATAACAAATTTTTCTAAACATTCACATAATATTTTCTATAGAAATTAATTTTAGCGCCACATTTACTTTCAATTCACTCATCTGCGAATTTGGAGAAACAAAAATTGGGGGAAGGAGAAGAAAGCTCGATCTTGTATCGTTCTTTCTCCACTGTGTTCTCGCATCAGTTTTCTTCTTAGGACACCAGTGTTTCTTAGCCTCGTTCTCGTCCTACTGCTCCTTAGCAGCAAAATCTCTCACAGACATCTTCATCTTTCTTCTTCTTAGAAAGTGGTTCAGTATCGATGTTGGCGCATTAGATTATATCGTCTTCTTTATACACGATTATTTACCACCAAAGTTCCCTTGCAAAAACTCGAAGGCAATACTTGACAAGTTTGTTGTGGAGAGTTAGGCTTGTGCCCTCCACAAGCTTAATTCTGATTTATGAGATCCCTTCTCTATCCATATGACTTACATTACATAGTTTGAGATTACCAATTGCACTTGCATCTATATTAAGTTCATTATTTCACATAAATGGGAAGAAAACTTGATTGGAACATTAACAAATACATGGAGATCATAAAAAAAAAAACTCATTTTTTAGGGGGAAACTTAAGTATCCAAGTTTCATATAATAAAACTAAAGCATGAAATATGACCGCATTTTACCCCTTAGCTTGCCACTCATGTAATAATTAGTAAGCATATTGTTTTTAACGAAGGCAAAGAAAACCGTTCACAGGCTGCAAACAAAGCACTAAAAACATTTAAAATTAGTCCCATCAAACTAAAATTTGCACTTGTCAATCTTCACAATAACAAAGCACAGACAAAAGTTCATCGAATGAAGCTAGAATCAAACCCTTGTCACAAAAAACCATTCACAAAACATATGAATGCAACACTAACCGAAATATAATAACCAAATCCAATAAGATATGGCCACTCAAATGCACAAGCTTAACCCTCCACAACAAACTGTAAGCCGCGACCCCGTTGTTGCGTTCCCAGCTAGCTCCAATTGCGACTGTATCTCGAGGGTTCGGTCACGAAGGCGATGGTTTCGGCGAAACAGGGGGGAGCGAAATGGGAGGGCTTCGGGGACGGAGCAGTGATGTAGGCGAGGGTTTCATTAATGTTATCTTATTGAAATTAATTTTTTAATTTGATTGAAAAATAATTAATAATTAATTAAAATATTCTCAGATTAATTAAACTTAAATAACTTTGTAGTTATTATTTATTTACAAATTAGTTAAAATATAAACATTAACTTTGTATTCAATCAATAAATTTATAAGTAAATTTAAATTAAAATAATTAATCACTAATTAATAATTTTTATTAATGTTAAATTTTATTTAATAAGGAATTTAATTAAATTTTTATGATTAATAACTTAAATTAGCAAATATATAATTATTAATTACTATAATTTAAAATAAAAAACTAATTAAATTTAAGAAGCAAGCAGTTTTTGAATATTTTGAAATGTTTTAAGAAGTTAAATTTGAGTGATTTTATAATAGATATTTCTATCATCGACAAAAATTGTTATACAGCTTCACAAAATTTAACTGGATTTACTAAATTTGTTGCCAAATAATTTTTAACATTTAACTTCTCCAGGAATTATTAAATTTGAATTTACTTGATTTACTAAATCCTACTAATATGAATCTCATATGTTGGCATGCAATCGCTAATCGTCTGTCCCATGAATATAACTAATATGAATCTCATATGTTGGCATGCAATCGCTCGTCTGTCCCATGAATATGTCCCATGAAGTAAAATAGACAAGAGTCACTCCATGCATTGAAAGACTCAAGCAATCAAGCAATTCTCGAACTCCCCATAAAACTCTCTCAGATATCTATCCACACCCTGTCACTGTACCTGAGGACATCGTCGATGAGGTGTCACTGCTCCAGAAGGTAGGAATGGTCGGATAATCCTACACAATGACGAACCAACAGGATTCTTAAACACGGATGTTTATAGTTTATCGTCTGCTTGTGAATTTTTTTTTTGTTGACGCATATTTTTTTATATTTAATTATATAACATTTAAAATTTTAAATCATATTAAAATTATCGTTGAGATTAACTTACTTAAAAAAATACATTTGATAATTATTTTAAAATTAATTTAAATATTAAATCATTATATAAATAGATCTAAATTTTTTTATGTTAAATATATAAATATAGTAAAAAAATGTGATGTTGATGTAAATCTTTCATTTTTATAGTATATGATGCTCTAAAATATATTTTGAGGATATTAAAACTTCTAAACATTTGTAAATGAATGGATGGACTTGAATGGCAAATTTTAATGAATTTTAGTGGACATGTATATTATTCTTTTTTAAAATAAAATTTTGATATTGTGTGCCTCATCATAACAAAAATTAGAGAAATGCATCTAATGTTTATTTTACAATAGAAAGATGCCTTCATTTTTTTTAATCAACAAAGCACTACTTCTAAATGCCCGGTTATTTAATATTTATTAAAAACTCTTGCCAAGTATTTGTGTGATCATTCAACTCTAGAAGTCTAAAATGATATCCTTACAAAAAATTACTACTTAAGAGCTAATAAAGAAAGTAACAACTAAATGTAACAACTTAACAAAATATAACAACGAGTTGGGATATTATGGAAAACCTTTTCCCTTGCAAAGAGATTTTAATTTATGTAGGATTCAAAAGATTTAAGAAAAAATTGATGTATTGTGAGAAATAAAAGCATATCATATTCTTTACCCTCTCCCGGTGCTTGCAAAGTACATTAGCTAACTTAAGGTTGATTTCTTAACATCTTCGATCAGTGTATCTGGCCTCTCACTTCTAGATGCCCCTAGCCCATGCCACCATAATGCCTGAATCCCCACGTCAGGATACTAAACCTTAAGCCAAATTGATAAGAATCTTGTCGGTCACATACTAAACCTTAAGCCAAATTGATAAGAATCTTGTCAGTCACACTAGATCTAACTAATTCTACGCCCATTAAAACTTATCTCCCTAGTTATTTGCACTCCCCCTTAGGTGATCACAATGGCTTTGCCCAGAATGAAGTGTGGTATCCACTAGTTGGGTGAAATCATAGCCTTCCCAAATCATTATGTTTCTCAATGGATTTTAACCTCACAAGTGGCCAGTTTCACAAGTGGCCAGTCACAAGTGGCCAGTTTGTAAAGTAAATGAAAATTCGGTGAAAATACCATCATAATTTTAAGAGTAAAAAAGAAATCTTTAAATCATTCTCATATCATAAGATTAAGCTCATATGTAAGAAGAAAAAAAGGAAACTACTCAGAATTCACGGAGATTAAACAAAAACAAAACATTTGTATTGAAATTCAAGTCTTACAACAAAAAATTAAACACAAATACAAAGTACCTTATGTCTTGTCCCCAAGTAAACTTCTGGAGTTTCCTTCAAGTAATCTCCAAACTTCTTCACACTAAAACACACTCACACTTACACTTGAATACAAAATATGAAAAACCTAATTTACTATTGCCACCCAATTGAAGTTTTGAGGCTCCAAAATGTCTCTAAATTCAGTCAAATCCTTCTCATTAAATAGAAAACAAAAATAACCAAGGGTTGCTTTAAACACCCCTCCAAAATTCTGTCAAATTCTATGTATCTTTTAGAAAAGTAGTTACTGACACTATAGCGCTAGTCTGTGGCGCGATAGCGCCCTTCTCACTCATATGTGGCGCTATGGCGCCAAGGGGTGGCACGATAGTGCCACACAAATATCTTCAATTTTGCTTCATTTTCCCCTCATTTTCTCTAAATGTCCATTCCATGTACTTAAAATAAAAAACAAGCAAAATATCTTCCTTTAAAGTGCAATATCATAAAAAATGTACATAAAAAGTTCATAAAATAGGCACTAAAAATAGGTTATTTTTAGGTGGATCACATTCTGAGAAGCATGTGGGGCAATTCTGTGAAATGGATTGTGAGATCGATATTCCAACTGTTGTTACCTCCGTTGCTACGGAGTCTGATGCAGAGCGGGATGATGTTTAAGAAAGACTTATAGATCTTAATTTGGTTAAAGAGAAAGAAATTGATGATAAAAGTAAAGAAGCTCAGAGCCGAGATTTCCAAGTTAAAAAATGAGCGAGGCATAGATGTAGAAGATGGGGATTACATCTTGGCAGAATATATCGATGAGGAATTCATTGAGATCAATGTTGTTGTTGGTATCAATTTTTGATGTCATAACTGTAGGATGTTCACTCGAGCGCTATGGAACATTGCTTGATGCATGTTTTGACCCTTGTAGTGCGAGACACCCATTTCAGACATTTTGGTGTGTATTAAGGAGCGCATTGTCAAGGTTGTTCGTTAGGCTATGACTTTCACTTAGGCAAATGCAAGTCAAATTATACTTACCAGATGGCTTTAGTCGGGCCAACATGTGTCACTCGCTGCGTCGGGAAAATGGCTCAAATTGACCCGTCCACCAGTAAGCTTGTTCAGATGACCCTGGATGACGAAATGGACCACACAAGTATATTTGGGATGTCCATTTCACTACAGCTTCGCGAGCAGGTGATAAACCAAAATAATGTATTTTTTTAAGTATACATTTATGCTTATTTTTGGTGATATTACACTTTAAAGAATTATATTTTCATACTTTTGTTGTATGTATATCAATTTTAGACAATTAGAGCAAAAGCAGCAAAAATGATGAAATTTGGAGCCAAAATAACGAAATTTGTGATAATGGCGGCTGAAGCGCCACTTTATAGAGAGCTGAAGCTTGAAGAGCCAAATGTGGCGCCTAAAGTGTCATTTTACAGAGAGGCGGCGCCTGAAGCGCCAAAACCCAAAACATCGATGACTTAAGTGGGAATTTTGAATTTCTTTTTGGAGAGAGGCAACCTTTAATAAAGGAGAGGGAAGTCTAGGGCATAAGTGGGTGATGATCCCGGTGAAAATATAGTTGTGTAAAATTTATATAATTTTGACTCCGCTATGCAACGACGCCAAAAGCTTGATGCAATATTTATGATTAAGAAATTTAAGCAAACAATGTTGGGATTCTACGCAAGTATACATATTATTATCAAATAATAAAGGACTTTCTATTTAAGCCCCAAATATCGATCCCACGGGAAAAGTTTAAATTTGAAGTGATAAATTTACTAGAAAATTCATAGAAAGTGAAATGAAATTACTGTCACTAATTTTGAATATTGAGATATTATCAAAACTAAATAATTTAATTATTAGTAAAACTAAAGTGCAAAGTTTAAACAGTAACCACTAAACTATTAAACTATATTTTTGTGATGAAGATTTCTTATGTGAAAAAGCACCTTTCGCACTACAATGAGATTTTGGTAAAATGATATAAGATAAATGGTTTTAATATGTATTGTGCCAAATAAGAGCATTTTTAATTCTCTACCCTGATACAGTGTTAGGTTTAGTCCCTAAATCTGTGTCTAGGCTAGGAGGATACTAGCTCCCACTCTAGAACTCCCACTTCCCTTCACCTGAAGGCTAACTCTCGCTTTAGTTTTTAAATATTAAGACTGAATTGAGGATTTTAGTCTGTCGCCCTAAAATCTCCAATTCTACACCCAACAATGTATATTTCCCTATTTATTTGCACTTAATTCCATGAACGAAATACTCCTTCATGGAATCAAATGTGATCCTCACTCTATTGTAGAACTCATACTCCATTTCCCGGATCATATGTTTCACAACACATTTTATATCTCAGAGTAGGGAGAAAGATAAAGAAGACTACTCAGAATTCATGAGAAAGATATAACAAAACACAAATTTCATATATAAAAGAAAGTTCATACAACACTCATAAACAAGCAACACTTATCTGAAACTCTTTCTCAAAGCAAATCCCTTGTAGCCTCTCATAGGAAATGTAGGAAGAAGAAATTTCTCACTTTTCTCCTTCTCCAACACTCTCAGAGAAGATTTCTCACTTAATCTCACAACAAAAACTATAAACTCTAAAAGATAAATCACTAATAGACACCTGAATGGTGGTGGAATGAAGATGGAAAAAATGTATGGAGGCGAGGTGTGG